AGGGCGTCATACGTCTGAGTAAATCGCCGTGGAGCTCTCGTCCATTCGTAGTCCCAAAGAAAACAGGCGACTACCGGGTCGTAATAGGCTATCGACAAGTCAATAAACAGATGTTTGATGATGAACTCCTAAATAAGGTGATGCGGGTCTGTATCGACAATGGCTTCTTCTTGAAGCTGGCCAAATGTGAGTGGCTCCGCGGGAAATCCCCTCGCTTGGTCATGCCGTAGGGAAGTGCAGCATCAAGCCCCAGGGCTCTCGTTCCACCGAAGGTTCGTGCCATGCGCAGTAGGCGCGATATTGGGTCAGGTCAACGACAGCCGGCTGGAAGTGATCGAGTACGGTAGCAAGAAGCTCACCCAAGCTCAGCGTAATTGGGGCGCGAGAGAAAGAGAGTTGTGGGCGGTCAAATACTTTGTGACCATGTGGGACGCTTCCATACGGCTACGACCCACCTTGGTCCTTACCGACCACCACAATCTCACTTTTCTAGCGAAGATTGACACAGGCAAGGTAGGTCGATGGGCTCTGTTCCTCCAGCAATACGACTTAAAGTTCAGTTACATCCCAGGAGATAACAACTACGTCGCCGATGCCTTGTCTAGGCTCTAGGACGACGAGGACGAGTTCCTTGTGAAGGACGACGACATCCCCGTGGATGAGTTGCAAAACCTCGAGAGAAGACGGCCTAAGAGCGAACACCATAAGACCAAAAAGTTGTACGTCCCGACTCGACTTAGGTCTGAGGTGACTGCTTGGTACCATATGGAAGAGTTCAGAGGTGACTTCCACGACTACGTGACTTCCGTGCTAAAAGTCAAGCACATTGCATCACACCTACCACGACAGAATGGACTAAACGAATCGAATCACCAACACCCTCGAGTCCATAATGTCCAAGATACCTCGGGACGGTAACTATTCCGACTTGACGCTTTTGCTAGCCCACGCAGTGTACATCTACAACGTAACGATCCACAGCGCCACAGGGATATCTCCGATGTTAGCCGTAACCGGCAGAGAGCCCATGCTACACGTGGTCAGAAGAGGGATCTCCGTCCATGGGAGAAAGGTTCGTCCCAACCAACCTACTCGACGCGACGAGCCCTGGTGCTCACCAAACCACCGACAGCGAAAGGCGAAGACTTCGAGCTGGGTCGAGCCCGTCGAAGCCGTAATCCGTGATAAGGTCAGAATGGAGAGATACCAAGCCAGCTACCCTACGTAATCATCGAGATCCAAGGCAGCAAAATGCGATTGCGCCCATACGGCAGACTAGTGTGGCGTGACAAGGTGCAGTGCAGGCGATAGCACCGCCCGTGAGGCTCGAGTTCTGTACGACTTGTTCATGCGGCGCAAGGGGCTAGTCAAAGAATGCGGGTGAAGCTGCTGGGTGCACCTGCCCCGAAAGGTGAGAGGCTACAGCCACAGCGAACGCTTAGGTCACCCTTAGGTTAGCTACTGAGATGTCGACAGTGGATGGTGCCTGTGTTTTATAACGGGGAGTCGATTGATGTGGTTCTGTTCTTAAGAAGATGATCGAGGAGGGCGCGGTGAAGGGGGCAGTCGCAAGCCGCCAATACCTGTACTGCGTTAGTTGGGGTGCAAGCCACATTAATTAGAAGAAGCTTTTGCCACATGGAGGTCGGAGGTCAAAAGGGGCTCCTGGTCGAGTTCAGCCAGTCGATAATTATAGTCAGTTGTGACTCCGTCGGTAGGGGGTCTGTCCAAAGAGGTGTGGTGAACGCCCTGTTCATCTCGTCGTCCCCGTCTTCCATCTTTATTATCGGACCAGGTGGGCGGAGAGGCGTTGATTGTGTGCGGAGGGTGTTCGTGGGAGCACACACCCAGAGGTCGCCGGTTCGAGTCAGGTCGAGTGGTCTTCGTCCACTCGTAGAGGTGGTTCTCTGTCAATTGGTTCTCCGCTGAACGAGATCACTGCGGAATCGGAGACAACGCCAGAGCACGAAGTAGGATGCACCGGACAGGGTGTAGACCGTCAGAGAACTAATAAGGTCTCGGTGTAGGATCGCGCACTTGTCAGGCTAGGATCGCGCACTTGTCAGGCTAGGATCGCGCACTTGTCAGGCTTGACGTACCGCTCGACCGCTTCACCGACATCAGGGAGGCCGCATCCGAAGGGATGACACGAGTGAGGGCTTCGCTCGTCCTGCGAGGTGCAGATCAGCTGGCCACCATAGTCCCCGCTTGGCTGTAACCAATTAATCTTACTGACCGGCTGCAGCTGCTGTGCCGAGGCGTTGAATGCAAGCGTCCTCCGGTATTCGCAACGAGGCCAGCTAGATTTCTCACCTTGCTGTCCTCCAAACAAACATCGTTCCTCACAGTAAATGCTGGCTCAGAATAGGCCAAGGCACGATTCAAAGTCGAGGGCAAAAAGTCAAGCCAATAAGGCCAGAGCTAACTGGACCGGCAGGTAGACGATACCTCCCCGACAGGTACAGCAGGCCGCAGGACATAAGTACTACATGTGTCTGGAACGCCGCGGCTGAGTCGAACTCTCCTTCAAGTCAGGTTCCAGCTGCCTATACTCTCTCCTCTTCCGACACCTGGTGTCTCCCAAGCAGTTGGCCTACTTGGCCTATTACTCTACCGCCTAAGGCCATTGCCTCGATCTCTGCGTCGCACTCTCCATCTTCCGCTGCGTACCGCGACAACCAGTCCGCCATATTGTTCTTCTCTCCCGACAGGAACTCTAAAGTGAAGTCGAACCTACTGAGCGCTAGCTCCCAGCGGAACACTTTCCGGCGGTTGGCGTGGTCTGTGCCTGCGGTGAAGTGGTGGAGCGCTACGTAGTCGCACCACTTCTCCACAGCCCACTTGACGGCTAAGAGCTCTCTCTCTCTCTGGTGTCCCTCTTTCTCTCCGCGTCGGTGAACTTCTTAGATGCGATCTCTCTACCCTCCTGCACCTGCTTCAACACTTGCTCTCCTCCGCTATTGGCACGTTCCAGAGTCCAGAGTCCCGAATTCATATCGAGAGTCGTGAGGTGCTGACGGCCTGCTGTGGCCCTCAAGCGGTCCCATATTCGGGGCAGCGGATACGAGTCGGCAGTCGTGCTTTGGTTCACCCTCCGGTAGTCCAAAACGCACCTCCACTCGCCCGTCTTCTTCTTCACGAAGTGCGGCGCGGCGGCCCACTCGAGGGACGGATGACTCCGAGCTTCAGCTGCTTCTCCACTTGCTTCTCCAACTCGGCCAGCAACTCAGGCTCGAGATGTCTCAACCTCGCTTTGTACGGCTTGCCGCTCGCCTCGAAACGCGCCTCGTACTTGATGCGCGCCACCTTTGGGTTCTCCCATACGTCTCTGTATGCGACCAGCAGATTCCACAGCTCGTCCCTCAGGCTCTGATCCAGGTGTCCCGTGCCCTCCACGAACACCTGACGCTGCGTCTCGAAGGGATCCTCTAACTGTTCCTCTGCCACTGGCGGCTGCTATGGGTACTTCTCCGCAAGCCGTATCGCGTCCACTGCGCCTCTTTGCGCCGCAGGACCAACGCCTTCCCGGACCGTCTCTCAATCAAACCAAACCGTTCCAATTCTACCCTCCCTAGGAGGTTCGGGGCCGATGGTTGGTCGTG